ACTCTCAATGGCTTTTCTGTCTTGGTCTGACAGTTCTGGCCTCATTGCAACATACCACAGATGAGAAAAATATGCCAGTCTATGCTGTTTTTCTCCAAATAACTTTTTCATTTTGCAGGGTAGAAAGAATCCACTCTACAAAAAAAGCATAAATAAAGCCATTAAATTCATACTACGCCATCTTCTAAAAGGCTTTCAAAAATCATATTTAAAAAAACCACAGGGCCGGCCAAGTGGCGTGATGGTTAAGAGCTGGCTTGGGACGCCAGAGGACCCCAGTTCGGAACCCACATATGAGGGCCAGTGACACTGCCCTCTACAGCTAAGATGCTGAACAACAGCTCAACCTGGAGCTGGGCTGCTGGGAGTTGCTGGTGCAGCAGGACGCTNTTATGATGCTTGCTTATACAGTTTGACAAATCTCTGTTGTATTGTTCATCATTTTGTAACTGATTTATAGGTGTTGTTCCTATTTTTCTAGATTCTAATATTTTGTCATATGAATTTTAATGTGCACATGGAAACTTTTATCATATCTAAGTTTAAATTTTAGCATAAAGTTGCCAATTGTTTCCCTTTTTGAATTGGTAATGTTTTATTTGCATTTAACTTTGTATTTTAAAAATCATATATGATGTGACAAAGTTAAATTTAATAAAAAATATTTCCCTAATTCTTAAAGGTCTGAACCTCTAAATGCTTGAATGTATTACCTTCATTCTTTAACAGAAAGGGAAATACCTTAAAGGTCACAATTTAGGTATCTCATAGTCATATTTAAAACCATTTTATTATTTATCTACATTTATAAAAAGTTTACTAAATGGAAGAAAATGGCAAAATGCCAAACTTTTTACAATAGAGTGATAAAATTGGAGCAAAGAAGAAAGCAAAACCCAAAGGAGCACGGGAAGAAACTAACATTTGTTTTGCTTGTCATTCAATCCACACAATTTTCAAAGTATGTATTGTTATCTCCAATTTACAGATGAATGCACTGAACCTCAAAAGGGTTAAATGACTTGGCCAAGGAATTTAGCTTTAAAGCTGAAATTTGAACCCAGGGTTCTTTGATTCTAAGCCTGAGTGTTTACCAATGTATCTCTTTGAGCATACAGTTCATATCTCAATAACATACCACTGGAAAAAAAAATTGACCACAAAATAGTGTGCGTTTATATACAATACTCACTAAAGTTGAGACACATGTGAAAGTACCCAGGAGAATGTTGGGCACATAGCCATTATTCTTTGTATTGACTTTGGGCAAAAAGAATGTAGATAACAGGCAAATACTTTCCAGTCCTTTAACAAATCTTATTTTGCTTTTCTTTTTCAACAGTGACATTCTACTTGGTTGATTTTTTGAATGGCAGGCAAAGGTTCCTGTGCAGTTTGATTGAGAGGTGTCAAGTGGGAATAAAAAAGATACAGGGAAATATCAACCCTGAGATGCTGACACTCCCACCAGAAATCTCTTCAAGCGCATTCATCTTCCATCCTGACAATCTGAATTTCGACTGTTAGTCCTGTGTGATATATTTAGAAAAACCAGTTGAAGAACATTAAGATAGTTCTAAGGGTCTAACAATTTTAGAACTCTGTAAATTAGCTCACTGATAGTCATGGATGGTGTTGAGGAAAATTATACAATGTTGCCTTTTCATGAATTCATTAAGAATGTGTAGTAGACCAAAAGTGATCCTCTATGGTTTACAAAAGGCAGACCCTTCACAAGAAATGAGAGATATTTTGAATTCACAATCAATCCAATGAAGCCTGATTATGCTAAGAACACANTGTTCAGCATCTTAGCTGTGGAGGGCAGTGTCACTGGCCCTCATATGTGGGATCCGAACCGGGGCCCTCTGGCATCCCAAGCCAGTTCTTAACCATTGCGCCACTCGGCCGGCCCCCACTCACATTTCTAACACCTGAATGTCACATAGGTACTTGGTGCAAGTGTTTAATTTAAGTTTACTGAATCAAAGAATGGTTCTTTTGATGTCATGTTGTTTATATCTTTTTTTGGGTTCTTGGATTAAGATTCTGGTTGACATTTGATAGTACAGAAAAATTCTCCCAATTATAGGCAGAGCTGGTTATTATACCCTGGAAAGTTCTCAGAAGAAGATATGACCTGCTTCTGCTTTTTCAAAATTCAGAATTTATCTGCCAAGTTATCTGTGTCTGTGCTTATTAGTATTTCTAATATTTTTCTCAGACAGGAAGAATTAATACACTGTGTCTGTAGCTTCTTTTTCTTCTTTATTCTCATCAAACATGTCGATGGTTCCTATTCTGTTGCAATATAACTCCTTGGAAGATAAATCAAAAACTTTCTCAAAATGAAATAATTACATCACTTATAAATTCATAATGACTTTAAATGTGTCAGTTTATGCATTTGGCCAATGTTATTAGGATTAGTATCTTTACATGAGTATTTCACCTTCAGGGGAAAGAACTTGGTTCTTTCATAAAGGAAGTTATAATTAAAAATTCATACCTTCCAATAATTTTTTAATTATTTTAAAATATGCTCAAAGCTTGTTCATAATTTTATGTTACAGTTATAAAGTTCATAAAAATTTAATTTAGTTAATTATTAAAACTAGGGGTAGAAAGCAATCTCATTTGCTATGAGACAAAAAAATTACTTTTAGTCAATTTGTGCAACTCTACTTCAGATTGCACTTAAAATAACGCTTTCATACACCCAGATCTTTTTTAGATTTTTTTTTCTGTTCCCCAGAAAAGTAATTTTATATAGTTTCAGTAAGTATCCTCCTACTTTTTACAGTTTTGGCATAAAATTGTTATTTGTGAATATGAGATTTGCATGAGTAGGAATGGATATTTTGATAACTTAACATGTTTTATTTTTTATATATATTATTTAGAAAAAATATATTTGAATGAACCTTGTGTTCTTCTAGAAGTAATTGTTCCCTTTTTTATATTACCCTCCCACCTGATTTGGGGAGATTTCTTACTTTATTCATGATGCATCAAATAACACTCTAGTAACCTGAGTTAATAAAACTTTGTAAGGGCTAGTAGAAGAATGAGTTAGGCCATAATGAGAAAACTGTTCAGTTTTATTGAAGTAGTATCTGCCATCCTGAACATCCCCTTCTTTTTCTTGTCAATAGCATTTTGGGTACAGTAAGGCAGCCATGATGAACGAGTTAGGTAAGTAAATGGTGACACTGGGCATGAATGGGTTCAAGTCTTGGTGCCAAAACAAACTAGCTATTTGCACTTAACCTCTCTATATTTCAGCTTTTATCTGTAAAATTGGCAGGATAATAATAATACATCATAGGATTATTGTGAAGAATAATAAAATATGTATATAAGAAACAGAATAATGACTAGTATGTGGTAAATAGTCAATATACCTTAGCTGTTATTATTAAGAGTTACAGTCTGGAAAAAATACTAAAGTATAAAAATTTATACATACTCATAAATTTAATTGTGAGCAAAGGATGAATAATACTAATTGTCTCATTTTGTGAATGGGGAAATTAAGGCATTTAATTTCATTAAATGTTTATCCTAAGAGCTCTGAGATAAATATGATACTTAAAGACATCTTGTAACAACCTAGTGACTATTTCATACCAGAAGGCTTCTTTTCTGAAAATGCCCTCTGTCACATAGTAAAGAAAATGTTACATGCATATTTATACATCAACAAATGATTTTTAAATTGTATGTAGTATTATCCCTAAAGGTAGATGAGAATAATAAACTAATAATACTAGAAAGCAAAGGGGCATAGCTGGAAGAAGCCAACCAAATGAGAGACATTTATCTGAAATCTCACATTTTATCTTTTAAAAATGGTGAATTTGCCCTTCAATTCCTCTATCAGTCAGATTCTGGTAGGAAACAGATGTTATTTTCGAATTGAGCAGTTGAGAATGGTATAGGTGTAGGTAAACTTTAGGGCAATCACCAGGTAACAGTGCAGTTCTATGGATCTAGTGACAGGTTGGGGTGAAGCATATCACTCTTAGGCCTGAGGAATCGAGGAGAGGAAGAGTGACCAGGACCCAGCCCAGACCCTACCTGGCAGGGGTTCTGGCTTTGTTGAGCATGACACAGCCAACATAAGGCACCCTAATGAGCGGAGGTGGGGGGGGATTGTTAAGAGAAATAAATGCCCCAACGTACTCTCCTCTCTTCCACCCATCTCCTTCAGCACCTCTGATAGGCTGAAGCAATGGGTAGCAACCTGGCAAGGGAGCCTGTGGAACCAGTCAGCCTCCAAGTGCACAGGGCAGGATGAGAGAGGTGAAGAGTGGACAGAGAAGAGAAAATGAAATATATCCATCACAACTATGTAAATTTATGTTTGCTTCAACCTACCCATTAAAACTACCATCAGATGTTTTAAGAAAATTGATACTTCAGTATGGAAGGGCTCCCCTGTCTTGGTTTGGGTAACATAGAAAGTAAACAAGCCCTTAAGTGCAAAATTGATGTTTGGTGATTTCAAATCCCTAATTGAGTGCTGCATTAGTTTTCTGCTAGTGTGTAACAAGTTACCAGAAACTTAGCAACTATAAATTTGTTATCTCACAATTTATGCAGGTCAAAAGTATGGGTCTGGGATGTCTGGATTCTCTGCTCTGGGTGCTGCATTGCTGAAATGAAAGTATTGGTCAGGGCTGCAGTTCTCACCTGAGTTTGGGGTCCCTTTTCCAAGCTCACTGCTTGTTAGCAGAATTAATTTCCTTGCAGTTGTAGGGCTGAGTTGCTGTTTTTCTTGCAGCTATCAGCTGGAGATTTCTTTCAGCTCCTAGAGGGTGTCTGCAATTCCTTGCTATGCAGCCACCATTTGCAGTTCACAACATGGATGCTTGCTTCCTTCCAGGCCTGCTGGAGCAGGTATTGCAGACTTCTTCTGGGACCAGCTGGAGAACACTATATTTTAAAGAGCTCCTGTGATTAGGTCTGGCTCATGCAGACAATCTCTCTATTTTTTGTCTGTTAAGAGTTGCTTTATTAATACATACACACAAGCTGTAAAGCCCTAAGAAACTTAAACATCTAAGTCATAACAAATGGGTGGCAATTCAACATCCAGAGTTGACAGAATGCTTGAGGGAGACAGCAACGGATTGGACCCCCACAGTGGAAAGGGCATCTTCAGAGGCGAAGGGGGTCCCACGTGTAACAGCTTTTCAAATTCCCTCTCCTCATCGAGCATCATGAGAGACACTCCATTCAAGCGGAGCTGTGCAATCTTGTGCTCTTCCAGCAGGTCAAAACTCTCAAAATCGAGAGGATTGAAGGGAAGGAATTTTTCTATTTCTAGATAGGTGTCATCCGAGGCAGGAGCAGAGCTTTTTGCTTTAATGGTCTTCTCCGTCACTTTTTTGGCAGAGAAGTTTGTCTGTTTCTGTTTGAGAGGTCAATTCGTCTTTATTGACTTTTCTGTAGCTCTGTTGACAGTTCCCAAAGCCTTTCTGGCAGCTTTAGGTAAGGCTGGTGGAGCATCAAACATTTTGCCAACGCGTGGTGTTGAATACTGAGATCTCCCATCTAAA